ATCTCCTGACTGAATGCACCCAGCTTGTTCTTTACTTAGGGCTGGCTCTGCACTCATTTCCATTTTTGTTATTAATATTAATTAGTGTGAGAACGCAGCTCAGATTTTTAAATTGAGCTAAGCTTCACAGCAATTTTTTATCTCAGATTCATAACTTTATTCTGACTTGACTCTTGTCCTTTTTGTAAAAAAATAAAAACTCTTAGGGAGTTTTTTTTTGTATTAGTTATATATAAAGCAACTTGAAAAGTATTTTATCCTAGGATTTTATTTCTTCTGTTTTTTTTAACATTTCAACATGTTACAACAAAATATCTCTCCTAGATGTTTGTGATAATTTTTCAAACTATTTTGCAAATAAAACTAGAAAAGTGTGCATGCATTTATATTAATAACTCAGTGCTTCGTAGCACTGCATTGGTTACGGCACCGGTGAGAGCATCTATGAACATCCTCCCACTGCTCTTTCCAACTAAGACTTCACTGACAACTTCTAAGTTGTAGTTTCATCTGACGAGAGCTATTTAGACAATTGAACTGGATCATATTCAGTGACATCAGATTAAAAAAAGCTGAATAAGAATATGGGCTGCACTTTTCACATTGTTATTGATACAGTTGTCTACAGTATCTCCTCATCTTTAGCATCGGTAATAGAGGAACCTCAGACTGTATTTTAGCTATTGAGAGGCAAAAATATAGATTTATACAGTTGTTTAATGGGTGCTGATTTTTTTTAGTTGCCAAAAAAACAAAGCTTCTCAGATGCTGACAATCTATTTATCATTACGTTAGAAGGTACAAACACTTAAAGGATCTTCTTGTGTAAAAAATGTAAAAAATTGGGTAAAGGGAAAATTTTTTAACACTTTTTGATTCAGAAATAAAGCACGTATTACATTTACAATGAAAAAAAAAATGGCTGAAGTCGTATGTCTTGTGTAGGACTAATAGACTGCGCCTTCCTGGTGCTTATTCCATCTTCCATTTCATATACAGAATGCTCCAGTTATCTCAGCATCTTCAACAATTCATTTGGATTGAGCTAGTTAGTCTTTACACAGTTTCTCACCAATGTCAGCATTGAACCCAGAAGTTTATTATTGTGGGAAAGTTCAAAGGGTGTAGGTACTTAGGAAATACTTTGCAGGCATCTGGACTGATATTATTAAGCAATATCTAACAGATTGAATGTAATAAAGGAAAAAAATAAAACCTCATCATCCAATCAGATGACTTCAGTCTGGAACAATCTTTGTTTGAGCTCCTTCTTTTTTTCTTCTATGCGACAGATTATCTGTCTATAATACCTGAGAGGGGTAACCATGAAATTCAAAATACCTGAAATATTCTGAAAATAAGATTCCCTTCCAGCACAAGCGGCGTCGTTGGGAAGGAGATGTATGCACGGCAGGCTGCGCGTCTGTGTCTGTGTCAGGGGGATCCTCGAGGTGACGAGCACAAAGCTGAGGCTCAGGTACACAGCGTATGCTGGCATAATTACAGGATTTGGGGGATTATTATACTGTAAGTACTTTCATGGCGACAGCTGGGAGCTTTTTACTCCCTGTGACACATAATCTCAAAGAATAAAACCAAGACCCCCGGAGCATCTCTTAATCATTTCTTAGCATACCTGCACACGGCTCTGAACTCTTTCTGAAGACAAATTTGTAAAATTAGAATATAATTATCATATCTTCAGGAAATTAAGCTAAAGTTGTGTTTTCAAATGCTGCTTTCTTTAAAAAAAAAGAACTTTGATTTTTCGAGCCATTCTGTTTGTGTTTCTTCTTCTCCCTATCCTGATTCTCCAGGTTTCTCGAGCCTGGTCCTAAATCAGATTTGAATCAGCGCCTCTACCTCATTTGTGAAAGTGAGTATGACCAAGCTGAAGCTGTGGCGACTCCTCTGCTGGCACCTCCTTAGAGATAGGGCCTCCTGGTCTCTACAGAAAGGCTAGGCAGCTTCATTTCCATCCCTGTGATCTAAACAAACCCATTACCACAGGCCATTTATGCTCAGGGGGCACGATGCAAGCTCGGGGCCTGAGGACGCAGCCCACAGCTAAGCCACCATGACACGGAGCTACCTTCAATGGCCGTGTGTCCGTATAGAGATGGGGAAAAGGGGGAACGGAGAGCTCTGGCCTTCTCCGCTTTATCTAAAGCACTCCAGAGAGGCGAGTGGAATGGGCTCTTGAGGGCTCTGTTTATCCCCTACTCCTGTAGTCAATCAATTAGGGGATCAAAGGAGGAGATGAGGGAAGTGTCACAAAGCTTTACCACAAAAAAAAACCTTCTCCCTGAGCCTCCACCTCGTCCAGTCCGAGTGACAGCACGCTGGAGGGAGACAGAATTCCAGAGGTGACGAGCAGAGCAAAGGGGACAACCATAGCACATGCCAAGGTCTAATCTGGACAACCAGAACACAAAGTTTTAGAAAAATATATAAGAAATGACACAGCATTGGTAAAGAGACTCCTAACAAAAAGCATTTAATGTGCTGAGACGATCTGTCTTTACCTTCTGAGTTTGCTGACAGAGGAAACTTGGCTTGGATACTGATGAATGACTCGCCATTCCTTTTTAAACATACTTTTTTATCCTATTAACATTCAAATGCAAATAAAAGCACAGTAGTTGTCCAATAATAAAGCAGATGCTTAATACTCTATATCATTTTTAAAGTAAATAAAGTGAGCTTGCATCAGCACCAACTTCTTTTAAAACATTTTTGTTGTTTTTCATTTAGTCTTTTCTTTCAGCTAGAGTCACTTGTTTGTTTGTTTTCTTGAACTTTTTCCGTCATTTTTTTTCCATTTCCATTTATTAAAATATTAGCCACAGGCCCAGGAAAAGTAGTTTGTGAGTTTGTGATTACAGATTAGATGTAAAAGTTGTTTATATATAAATAAATAAATATATGTATATGTATATATAT